GCTGATTTCCAGTACACAGCTCCAGTTTGGGATAAAAACTTTCCTACTGCTATGAATTATCTAGACCTAGCTTCCCAGTTCTGCCCTGTCAATGCATTATTCTTAGAAATGCCTTGAGAAAAATAGAGGACAAAAACTAGAATATCAAACTCCTGAATTGCTAGCTGGTGGCTGGTACTGGACATAAGGAATTAAAAAAAAAAACCCTGCCTCCAGTGCTGAATTTAGCTCTTACAGGCTGGAGTTGTGCAAGAACACATTTTAGGTGCTATTTATTCATAGTACTCTGGAGTCCCCTCCTCCTTGAAGCATGGGTTAGATGTTCCTCTCTGCAGTCTCTCCAGCTGGCTTTGGCAGGCTCTCACATACAAATTTTTTCACGTGTCTGGGCCTGGGATACCAGAACAAGTTGGTTAATAGCTACACAGCATAACTGTGGTTACCATCAGCATATGCTATTTTTCCCCTTGTTCTGGTAATTAACATGGAATATCTTCAGAGCCTTGTAGCCTGTGGCATTCAGTGTAAACACACTGCACAGCTGTATCATCTGTTCAAAGTTGCCTGTTTGAAACCTACAGAACACCCTTCTTGCAATCATCATATCAGGACTCAGTATCTAGGTGGCTACAGTTACAGAAAAAAATGTTTGTAAGAGAACTACTGCAGAAAAGTGTGGGGAAAAGGTTTGAGAATTTAGTACTTGCCCTCCATTACCTTCAAGAAATAGCTGGAGCTGAGCTTGCCAAAATTGTCATCTCCAAGACTCAAAATAGAAGCAGCAGAATACCCTTAAACCCTGCAATTTACTTTGAAAATAACAACATTTTCAGACTTAATTCCTTGTGCTATTTATTAACTTTCTGGATTTTGAGCAGTTAGGGGTCACAGATGCAACCTTCTATCTCCAAACACGCAGATGTTTTCAGAAAATAACACAACAATTTCCTCAGTATCCCAATAGTCCCAGAGCTTCAGGAGAATGCCAAGGAGAACAACTGGTCAGCAAACTGAACTGTAAACATCAGACACGGTGTAGCTGCAGCTATCCTAAGATACAAATCACAACAGAAACAACAACAGAAGTAGCAACAATGCACCTAAAATAGCTATCAAGGAACTTATGTCTACAAGGCTAATCAGCATTTTTTAGATATATATACACACACACAGAGCATTATTGTAGATAGATTATATATTCTATTAAATTTATAATGGAATATAGAGTTCATGATCTTGGCAAATATACATTATATATTTTATATGTATTGATCACATATAATTATTTTTCTGTACACAAGTCAATGTTTAATTTTAATTTATATAAATAAAAATTATTTCAGAGATGAATGGTGAAAAGCAGAAATCCAGATCAATCTGAGAGGTACTTGTGCACAACTTCAGAAGATCCCAGTTCTTCCAGATCTGTAATAATAGCTACAAGAAGGCCTCACCCTTGCTCCTCTGACATGTAGATATTTGGCCTTTTTTGAAAGTTGAGACAGGCATCTGCTTCAGAATGAATAAATACTTGTATTGTATCAGTAACAGAGATGTCCTGTGTTACTTATCTTGCAGAATACAGCACAAAAGTCAAAAGTTCCTGCTACTTTTCATGCTCATTGATCCAAGCTAAGTGACATGGTGATGCACTGCAGGAAGCTCTGAGGCAACGGGACACTTCACCAGCACCAAATACAGCTTCACACGCACTGTGAAACCCCAGCTGTTGTAAAGTGCTTGTTGTTATAACCATATAAACATGCCCACGTTAAATAGGCAGTCTGCTATCACTTGACCCAAATTTATTGGATAGCTGCTGCAGGCTAATATAGCCCCCCATGCTGACGAAGATAATATAAAAGGCTTCTTGGTGCCAGGGTTCAAACTAGTTCAGGCAATGAAGTGCAGCATCTTCTAGCAGCACTTTGTTTGAAAAGCAAATAATCTTTTTCAGCTCCGCTTGTGCAGTATTTACCTTCACTGCTGTGAACTCGGCTGCCTTTACAGGATATCACTGGGCTTATCCCGACTCCATCGGACAGGAGGTTTTCTGCAGTCCCCTCCCGTAGAGAGGGTAAACTCAGGTTGGAATCAATCAGCTCTTTACCGTCTTTCTCAGATATCTTTCTAGGTCATATCTTACATAAACACATGTGCTAGATAAAGCTCAAGCCCATGGAATTGTTTTACACTCAAACCTTGTGTCAGTTGTGAGAAAGTTGACTCAGCCAATTTCACCTGCTTGGAGCCCACCAGCCCTGGACATAAAGATCTGCCTTCTCACCACTGGGACTCAGCGACCTCAGGCTTTCATCTGCTTCCACACAAAACCCTGTGCCCCGAACTTTGACAGGCAGTCGGTGCTTAAGCATTGTGCATGCCACATAAATTCAAGACTAGTGGTGAAATTACAAAACAGAGTATCCTGGGTTCTCTTCTATGCTGTTCAGGCAATCAAAACTCACCATGCCTAAAATAGTTATTCTACTCGGTGTCTGACCACTGAGTAGAATTTTTCACACTTTTCTCACCAACGCGTTTTTCTTGCTTGAAACAGGATTAAACCCAATCTACTCTTATAGACCCAATTCTTTACAATCATTAAGTAGATTAAAAAAATGATTTCTTATTTTCATTGGGATTTTTAACAGTGAAATGAATCTGATAATTTTTTTCCCCTCCATCAAGCGTGACATTGGAGTCAACACAGTGGCTAACAGTCAACGTGACCTCACCATCACATAGAGCATGAGGACTCCTCTCTTTTCCTTCATGGAAAGAATACGTGTTATGTCATTGCCTCGATGGAGCCTTCAAACTCCACTACAGATTGAGGCAGCCAGTCTTCTGAGATGAGAAACACGAGACAAATGCTTGAACCCAGTCAGGTTTGAATAACCGAATTTCTGGAGAGGGACAGAAAGGAAGGAAAGAAGAAAGTGATCGAGCATTTCTGTCCACTTATGCACTGTGAGGGCAGGATGAAGGCAGACTGAACAACAGAAAAGCAGCCAGAACTGTACAACAGTTCCATGGCCAGCAGCTCCTTCACCTCCACAAACCTTGCCTGATGCCAGCAGGCACCTCACGTGGTGGGCTGTGAGCCATCCCATGAATGGGAACAAACAGATGTGCTTCGTTCAAGCTGCAAACTGTATATGGTGGTAGGAAGACTCAATGTATTTCTTACTTCAGGTTCCAGTACCACTAAGGCAGTGGATCTTACGTTTTAGCTAATGACACAGCCTTGCCTATATTACCTACATTTTTACTTTTATAATGCATAGGTGACTGGAATGATATTTTGTACCTGTTTTGCTAATAAATATGTCATTTTGTGACTGGCTGGGAAAGAAAGAAGAGTAAGAAGGCTGCATACAAAGCTTCTCTTTTGGCCATATATAGCAAATAATTCCATATCTATATACATGATGACATATGCAGTGGTTCATTTCTCTATATAATGCAAAGTTATATACGAACTGGGCATCCCTCATTTCTCTTACTCATGTGGAGACAGTCCTAGTGACAACAGCCATCCTTTGGCAACCTATACCAAATCAACAAAGCACATACTCCAGATGAAAACTCCTACACTTCACCCTAATAGACATGAGCTCATCAGAACAGAACTGATGCCCACGGTGGCATCCAAACAACTGGCACACAATGCCTATTCTAGCTTTCTACTAATGGTTTCCAAATTCAGAGGTACAGACAAGCAGAGTATCCTAAAATAAAAACTGTTCGACAGACTTGTGATAACTGTATTATTTGAAGAAATAAAGGTCTCTATTTATCCAAAGTAAACACCACTTTCTCCAGAAATCCTTTATCTTAAGCACCCAGACAGTACCTACCATGCTGCTGTTTATAAACCTGCCTTGGTGTCCAACCCAGTTTCACTGAACCATCAAATAATACTCTTTTACTCTTTTCAGGTGACATATGTATATGTTTCTTATGGAAGGGACATATGACCTCAGTGGGGCTTAGGAAGTCCATTATCCCAAAACAAATCTTATTTCACACATCTTGTTAGATTCACCACCCGAGAAAAAACACATTAAATACCTCACATGTCAGAGCTATCATGACACCCACAAATCAATTTTCATCACCAAACTGGGTAGCTACTGACCTTCCTCAGCTTGGGGTGAACAGCTTCCAACATACTGCAGGTGCTTCCTCCTAGAGCTGTGTATTTTTTTCCTTTTGTGTCCTGACATGCCAGCTCTTTCTATGCTCTGTGAAAGTCTGCTTTGTCCTTCAGGAGTTATTATCCCAAATCTGCATGTCACAAGTGGCACCACTCTGCTTTATTTCTCCTGCTTCAGAGATTATCTAGAGTACAACTGAGGAGCAACGAGCTATGCTATGCAGCACATTTTTCCACAGTCAGGACATCATCTAAGTAGATCCCTACAAGGTCAGATAAAGGATCCTTAGATGATCAGAATCTGCTACTGAACCATCTTCTGTCATCTCCCAGACTCTCTCTGCATTACTTCACAGGAATAGTGCAAAGCACAGTGCAAAGAATGCATCCAACATCCTGGTTCTGTGTCTTGGCACTCACTGAAACAGAGAGGGTCGTGTAGAGCTGGACCTGCCTCAGCTGAATACACTGAAAGAAAATTTCTGCACAGAACTTCAGGAAGGGCATCCAGCTTCTCCCACAATATACTGAGAATTAAGTCTTAGATCAGCGCAAGCTGATGCAGTATGTGAAAACCAGAAATGCTTCAACATTTCACTCAGACAAGTCCACTAACAGGTACATAATTCATTTGGCTCTTACTTTGGGAGTCTGCACGTATCAGGACTGTGTCAAATCCAGGGGTGATTTCTGGGGAATTGGACTACCCCACAGTGTTAGTCTGCCCAATCCTTGAGTTTGTTCTGCTTTGGATCTGTTTCCTGTAGCTCACTTTTGAGCAGTGAGCTTGAGTAGCATTACAAAGATTGAGAAGTAAGCTTGAAGGCTTTCCTCTTACCAGCTGAATCTGCTGCAGACGTTCCACCACTGGTCAAGTCCTCAGTATTAATTGACTGCAGATCTGTATAGGAGGGAGCAATGCTTGGGGTGCTGGTGTCCTCTGAGTTGGTTGTCCAGCTGCTCTCCGAGGCACGGGCTTGCCTCTCAGAAGAGTTGGAGGAGGGGGAAGTCCAGCTGGGTGCTTTTGATGGAGACACTGAATGCAGAAAACAAACAGGTATCAGTCAGAGACTTACAGGGCAATCTTCCAGAAGTTCATAACTATTCCAAAGACACGCTCTATCAGAGTACTGAGACTATAAATATACATTCCAACATCCACAGCAACACAGTTATTTTATAACAAACACACAGCAACTTAAATAGTGCCTGGCACTGTCACCCTCCAGCACTACTCAGCTGTCTGCCTTAGATCTCATGCAACTGCTGGCAGTTGTATGTTTTCCCATTGTTCATGTATTGCAGAAGCTGTGACTTTTCAGAATAGGAAGTTTTCATGTTTCTGCCACTGCTAACAAGATCTGAATATCTGTGTTGTGCAACACAGTGGAGTTTTTAAAGCACCACAGATTTTTATAAAGTGGTTTATTATATTTAATTAAGCATTCCCTATCCACAACACCCACTCAAATGTAGCTGTCATCTCAGGAATGCTCCACATGGGAGGAGGAGTATAAAAATAAGCTGAAATTGACCTACTGATGTGCACTATAAATGGCTTTTGTTTCTCAACATGCATGATGGAGTATCCCAGTCTGAATAAACTGCATAACATTTCTGTTACATGTAGGTCAAAAATCCTGTTCCACTCATTTGCCAGACTTGTGTGTCAAACAGTTAAGTCCTGCCTAACCATCATCCATTGGATGTGAATTTGTATTGCATACTCTTTGTATTGTATACTCTTTGTCCACAGTATCTGAATGTTAGGAACAATGGGTGATTCTAGTGAGGAAATAAAAAAGAAAAAAAAGTGGTAATAAAGTCTTCTTGAACGATGGAAAGGTGCACTGGTAGAGGCTAATTCTAATTTAATGTCAGCATAATAACTGTTTTCTAAGTTAGTACATCAATGTTTATCTTTTAAACCAACAAAGATCTCAATGCACCTCAAAATCTTGCCGTTACAGAACAACTACTGATACAGTTGTTTTCTTCTCAGCATGTAATACATAAACAACCCTTATTAGGTTGACAGATACTTTGGAAGAAAATGGCAAATTAATGTTAAAGAGGATTTATCTCTCTACTCCACCCAAGTAGTGTGATGGGACACCACCTCATTATGAAAACCTTGCTTTGTGCATAGAGGGAATATCTGAACAGTGCTCCCTGCCTTGCCAGTTGAGAAGTGCAATTTTTTTTTAATATAGCTGCACTGTTACCCTCAGGTAAGCAGGCACTAATATATTTATATTTGTACAGCTGTGAGCCTAGGTACTGAGCTGCTTCTGAGTAGAGTCATCCCTACGGATAAGAAGCTGAAAGTCAGGAGATCTGTCTCCTTATCACACATGTTGACAGTTGTGCTACAATGATATGACGAAAACCCCTCACTTCTTCCTTCAGTAATTCTGCACTGTGTTGGTGCTCAATGCCTGTAGAGAAAGGATGACAAGTATATGATTATAATCTGTCAGTCCGTCTCTCAGCCCTTTTGTTAAACATGGCATGAGGCATCTGAAAAAACACCCTTAAAACTTCACCTGAAATTGCTTTGACAGACAGAATGCTTTAATTGGACATAGAGGGCAAGCTAAAAAGCTGAGCTCCATATGTGAAACGGCAAAAAGAGCCAAGGTTTTTTTAAGTGTGTTTTATATCAATTCTAGAAATTGTGGAATTATTTTTAAAAAAAAGATCTTAGATTTGCAGTGTTTCTTTTTTTGTTTAAAGTCAGTCACAGCAATATGAAAAATATAAGCTAATTTAGAAACACGTAAGATTTAGTAACTCATATACTGTCAACTTGTTTTGTGCTTTCCAAAAATTTTTTTTGTCTAAAGGGAAACTGACTGGAATAGTGTTGCAGAATACTTCTATATAAGGATAAATTAATTTTATTCCAGATAAGTTGTGTCACTTTGGAAGAATATAATTATTTGGGTTTTGTAAAGAGACTTGCACTTTGGAAAACCATAACCATAGAAAGCTTTTTCTGCAACAGATTTTTTTTAAAATCTTACTACAGTCAGCTTCCACCAATGACAGTGCTAGGTTCCACAACACAAACCCTCAGAACTAATAAATTTTCCCCTATGCTGAGCAAAGCAACTATCTATCAATCTCAAAAAGCAAGACAAGCAAAAATAAACATCCACACGTTTAGGTCCTTCTTCAGAGGCTCCTGCTGCTCTTCAGATTCCTGGAAGTGCTGAAACCAAATTCCTAAATGAGGTAGGGTTTCTTTTAGTCCTAGAAATTTGGAGTTTGGTCTCTAGTGTCAATAGATGCAGAGTCGTAATAGCCTTTCAGCTGCAGGAATTTCTCAAAAATCTGTTTTAAGTTGAAAGTGACAGAACTGTCCTTAACATGCAAATCCTGTAGCATGGGCAGCATACTGAAAATCAACTAATTGTTTCCCAAAGTGAAAAATATTTCCTTTCACATGCATTTTACTTTTCTTGACCCGTTTGTTCCTAATACAATGGATTTGCTTTAAATATGCAGATTTACCTTTAAGCATTCATTCCTCTCTGATGTTTTGAGGATCCATTCCTTGATCCCTACACTGTATTACAATCAACCTTGTTAGCATCATTTCCTTTCCTGTCACATAGGACCTCAGATTTTTCTTATTTTAGGACATCATCACAGTTGGTCTAGTTTTCAGCTGTTGATCTCGTGTTGCATGTACTTCCTATTTTCAGACAAAACAGCACAAAATGGTTAAATTGAGATTTGCCTTACTGTGGGATAGCCTCTCAAGGGACACAGTAGGAGTCCAAGTTACTTGAGCCATTTAAAACCAGACAAAGCTCTCAGGAAGAAGCTGGGAGG